ACATGCATATTGTACAAGCTCTCTAGAATAGTAATCATTCTGCCTAATACATAGAGTGTGTTCTATTGCTTGTAATCTATGTTGGGTGTTCCGAGCTTCGCGACAATATTGATCTAGGTATACCGCCGTCGAGGCGCGTTGTGGTACCTGCATGAAACAAGCAAGCTCTTCGTGTATTGCACGAGACAAGAGAAAGGCCGGTCTTTCCATAGAGCCGCATCCACGCGACAGACAGTTAACGAGTGCTGATATGTCATGCCTATGTTTGCCTGAGGTGATCGGCTACGGTCCCGCCGCACTGCCAGAAGGTTTCGGAGACGAGGAAGAAGGGTCCACCCAGATTGTGGAGAGACAAGATCTGGGGACTCCACTTCGACCCTGCGTAAGAGCGTGCCAGGAGTCAGGAGAGTCTGGGAAAGCGGAAAGACAGTCTGGTTACCCGCCAGTTACCGAGGGGCCAAGTGGTTTCCGCGGTCCTCCGGCACGCTGCTATCCACACACCGGCCGGGAGTCGCGGGTGTCTTCTCGCCGAGAAGTGACGAGTCTCAGTATCCATTCCCAGTAGCCATCAGGTAACTTGACATGCGTATGTGTGGAGAGGTACATAAGTCCAATGCTGTTTGTCGTTGTTGATTTTTGGCCAAAGCAGCAGCGAGCCCTGGAGGCTCCAAGGCTGACCATAACCATACACGTCAAGCTGTCTGGCTGACGCCAACTTACCTATAACGTTTTTGTGGTTGCTAGACAACTATGACGCCTCGAAGCATGGCTTTTGAGGTCGAAAAGACGAGAGGACGTCGCAACAAAGAGGACATGGGCAGAGAGGTGGCGTTTCTTGTCCCTCTCTGCCGGCTTGTCACCTGCTTGGCGCATCTCGCTACCAACACAGACATCGGCAAGCAAAGGAGGGCCGAATACGGTGTCAAAGTTACCGAGCGCGTTGTCGGGAACATCAAGTCGCGCCTTGAAGCTGGTGCGCGATGTTTGGTTTGGTGGTGAGGCGCGTCTCCGGGCGGAAAGCTGGCTACGTAATGGGTTCCGATCGATAGGTAGCGCGGGGAAGCTCCAAGCTCCAAGCTGCCTGCCCAGGTGTACTCGGGGTTTAGGCAGACACGCTCATTTGAACGCGTGAGGGAGTTACAACCTGAACACGCCAAATCATTCACATCACACACAGTCTGTCCTGTCCATCATGTCCGACAACACGACGTCCCAGGAGGACATGGCCGCCCTCTCTTACTTCGACCACTCGTCGGGCAAGCGCATCAACACCGATGTCGTCCTCATCGAGGCAATCCGATCGCAGTACCCCAACCTCGACCTCACCGTCGCGCCCCAGGGACGGCTGAACCTCCTCGCATACGCATCCGCTGGCTTCGCAAAAGTCACGCCCCTCGAAGACTCGGTCACGGATCCCGTCTACGGCCCTGGAGTCAAGTGGCGCTCCTATGCTCCCCCAAGCCACAGGCTCGACCCCAGTCCTGGCTACATGGTCGAACGTGTCATCTTTGGCAAGTACATGTACAAGTGGAAAGACCAGGAGGCTATCCTGTACATTGCCGAAGGTCGCGACGGAGGGTCGTATTACCCAAGCCCGACGCTGCACTATGTCCTCTCCAACGCGTCGCACAAGGTGGATGAGTTGATCAAGGACGCGACAAAGTGGGGTAGCGAATTGCACAACGAGGTCTGGGTCTTTGACGGTGGCTACTGGCAGAAGAGCGCAGAGCTGTACCGTTCCGTACAGAAGAGTACATGGGACTCCGTCATCCTCGACGAGGACATGAAGAAGGCGCTCATCGCAGATGTGGAGAACTTCTTCGATGGCAGACAGACATACGAAGACCTGAAGGTGCCATGGAAGCGCGGTGTCATCTACTACGGACCCCCCGGAAACGGCAAGACCATCAGCATCAAGGCCATGATGCACAGCCTTTACCAGCGCGGCAAGGAGGGCGACTCCAGACTCGCCGTCCCCACTCTCTACGTCCGCACCCTGACCTCTTTCGGTGGACCTGAGTACTCCTTAGCGCAGATCTTTGGCAAAGCTCGCGAGCAGGCGCCCTGCTACCTTGTCTTTGAAGATTTGGATTCAATCGTCAGCGACCATGTACGATCATACTTCCTCAATGAGGTAGATGGTCTAAAGTCCAACGACGGCATCTTGATGGTCGGTTCCACAAATCACCTAGACAGGTTGGACCCAGGAATTGCAAAGAGGCCTAGCCGCTTCGATCGCAAGTACTACTTCCCAAACCCTGACTATGATCAGCGCATGCAATACGCAAAGTTCTGGCAGGGAAAGCTCAAAGACAACAAGGATCTCGACTTCCCCGACGAGCTCTGTGGAAAGATTGCCGAGATTACGCCCAAGTTCTCTTTTGCCTACATGCAGGAGGCTTTCGTTGCGTCGCTCCTTGCTATTGCCGCGCGGGGTGGTAAGAGCGTCGAGGACGCCGACCGCGATGCAGAGAGGTGGGCAGGCCCCCAGGATCCGATGAAATCGACCACCGGCACTCTGCATACCAACTTCGCACGGAGACTGCCCTTTGGCGACATATACGACCCTGCTTCGGAGCCAGACTCTGATCTTGACAAGCTAGAGCTATGGCAAGAGATGAAGAAGCAGGTCAAGATCCTGCGCGAGGAGATGGAAGAGAAGAACCGCAAGGGTGATTGGGAACTGCCTAGTCGGTCAAAGGCAGCGGATCCTCGACCAAACCCAACTCAGTTCAGAGATGAGCTGGACGCCATTCTGCATGGAGGTGAAGAGAGACGTCCCAAACATCCGCACCCAGAATTCGAGTACCTAGCCAGTCAGGCTAGGTTTGAGTAGTGACCGCTTGGTCGGTATTACACAAGGCAGTATGGCGTTTTGGCGTGACAGTAGCTAGCTTTTAGTCTATCATGAAATATCCACAAAGAATTAGCGATTCATAGAGTTGACTGGGACTGTATGTTACAACAACAACCTTGAGCAATACCCCTTTGGTGTACTTCCATGTTCTCTACCGTGATGTACAATTGCCTCTCTGATTGGTAACAGTGCAACGAAAATCTAATCGCCATGGGTAGCAGCCTCCTCCATAGCCAGCACGGCATTCTCCAGCTCCCTAATCCTCTGCCCCACCCTCCTCTTCACTTCATCTGCGACCGGCCTATCCTCACCTTCAACAACCCCTTTGTAGTACTCGAGCAACCTATCCAGCTCTTCCCTCGCTGCAGCCCGGTCGTCAGGCGCATACGTTGTGTTCTTCTCGCTCTCCTCAGACGCGATTTCAAACTCGTCTTTGGCCGTGCCGTAGAGTTCTTGTATCTCCTCGATCGCTTCCTCCACCGCTTGTTGAGCTTCTGGAGATAGCGAGGATGGGGCTGACGACGTGGCGGATGCGAATTTAGCGCATGGCGTGGAAGTGAATGTGCGGACGGCGGAGAGGGTGTTGTAGGGTGTGGTGAAGCGCGTCCATTGGTTTGGCGCTGCTAGGATGGATGTGTTGCGTGCTTGGTATGGTGGAGGTGGGGACGGCGACCGTGAGCGCTGTTGTGTGTAGGTTTGGTAGGAGAACTGTTGCGTGGCCGGGTAGGACGTCCGTTGCGCTGCTATTGCGCTTGCACGGAGCGTCGTCTGGCGGAGGAGAGTGCGGATGGGCGCGGCGCCGGATGCCATCTTCGGGGAGGACTGTCTGTGGTACGAGGCGCCAAATTGGCGCGGGACGGAGCGTTGGGCTACATTGCGCAGCGAAGGCGCTTTGGTGAAGAGCGTGTGCGACATTGTGGGTGGTGGATGGTGGGTTGGTGAGATGGGGCTGTGGTGAGCCTGAGGTTCACCGGAGTTAAGCCTGTCATGCGGACATGACGGTGCCACCCAACACCATTCTTTTACTACCCATCCATAGGTACCTCGGGTTTCTTGACAGTATGTTGAGATCCAGAAGTTTACATCGCCATCAGATTTTACGAGTGTCTCGTATGATGCGGTCGTCGACTGCAAATCCGAATAACACTCTATAAAGCTGAGAGATGCTACACGGCTACGACGTGGTATAGAATTACAGATCTAGGTAGGTAGTATCTACGCGTGGAGACACAAAACATTTGAGTAGATGTAAACAAGAGGTTCCCGTGTCACGTAGAAGAAATGGCAAGTGTGGCAGCTTCCTCTATAATAATGGTCATACTACATCCTGGAGCTACACACACTGCATACTGCTTTGACGAGCACAAGATCAAATACAGTTGGTATCTTCAAAATATAGAACACAGCTTGCTGATAACAATGCATTCTGTGTAGAGTATGCAAAGAACAAAATGAACCAACGATGAGCAAAAAAGAAGTCTTGAAGGTCGTGCCCGGGTTCTTCTCAACGTTAGGAACAAGTTTTGAGGTCACAGCAGAGGAAGTGTCTTACCGAACCGGGGTTATCAGAATATTGATGAAGTCAAAATCTGAAGTGATAACCACTACCTAGAATCGAATGAGCGCATGCTCCATGATGTTACGATAGTGGATCAACGTACACTACACAACCTGTGGATGCTTCAAATGGTGCAATATGACAAGGTTTCCCGTTACATCGTATATGAAGCAATCGACGTGCCACTCACGCTGCAGTCGAATAATTCGACGTCGTTTGTATCATTTCTAAACGAGCAGCTGCCCCGTCAAGAACCATGACGCCTAGACTTGAGCAAGCCCACAAAGTGGTGGGGCATCATGTTCGCAAAAGTAAAAAAAGAGGGGTCCAAGTCACCGATTTCGGCAAACTTCTCACAATTGTCCAGAACGCCAGGGACGACGTACAGGATATAGACAAAGTACAAATTATGCAGTATATGCGCGTAACCATTGGACTCAAGCGAGGGCAGAATTGACCCAGGGCAAGAGGGGTTGTTCCACTTGTTGGTGATGGCAAACTTGCAAAAAGGAGAGTCCACAACCACACGTCTAGGACAGTTGTAGAAGCACTCTAAAAAGCCAAAAAGAATGATGCAATAGCTCATACGAGCGGGGAGGATCGAACTCCCGACCTTCTGCGTAACTTTACATTTTTAGAATGTAAAGCAGACATCATGACCACTAGACTACGCTCGCTTGAGAGACGATTGATGGAAGAACTTTGAGGAAACACTTAAATATACACTTCATCCAATGCCTAATGCTGCTAACTGGGTCATCTGGCGAAGGTAGCCCATGCGCGGGACTGAGGAATGGCGACAGCGGGGTTGGTGGGGTCAGTGTCAAATTCGCTTCTTTGCAATTCGTCGTAATGCCCGCCTTATACGAGGAACAAACTGAACCGCTACTCTACCGTCTACATGACCTTAGGGAGTATATGAACCTTAACCTCTATAGCAACGTAGACAGTAGAGTGTCTATTTAGTTAAATCCTACACCTCCTAAAGGCAATGTAGACAGCTGGATATCTAATTAGTTAAAGTGTATTTATTCTGTAGGGCAATGTAGACAGCAGAGTGGCTATTTAGTTAAGGTTTATGTATTCCCCAAGGCAATGTAAACAGTAGAGTGGCTATTTAGTTGAAGTTTGTATATCCCCTAAGACAATGTAGACAGTAAAGCAGCTATTCAATTTCTTCCTTGTATAAGGTATGTCCAAGTCCATGCTACCTAAGTACCACGCTCTCACTTTGTGAACATGTGTTACCCACACTACTTCTCGTTCTCTAGAGCCAGAGCTTGTTGTTCTCACACCACCTGCACCAATGCCGCGGCACTTATTGCCGCTTTCCACAAAACTCAAACCAGAGCGCGGAGGTACTCATAGTCTTGAGCCTGGGAAGCTTTATGTAGAACAATAGAGACGGTGATGAACTGTCGTGTATCTTGTATCATGCTTTACTTGAAACCCGGTCAAGTCTGAGAGATTTCTGCACATGTGCAGAGATAGATCATGTAGAATTTGTATCATATGTTTGGCTAGAATTAATGACGAATATGAAAGGGGTATACTACCGTTATCTGGCCGGCGCGTGATCCCATTGCTGACGCCTGTACGCCTCGCTATACAACAATGCTAAGGAACCTATGCTGCCCACAATGACCGTGCTATGCACCATCCAACTATCTTCACACTCCACTCTTACCACCACCGCCTCAAATTCCTTCTACTGGTCGCGCACTGCAGGCAATGCCTCGTCGATGACACAATCGCACAAGTCCCACATACATTTCGCCCACAGTCGCTGCATGCAAAAGGACTATGCGCCACAGCTCCACCCATGTCCATATCCATGTCTACATCCATCTCGTCTCGCTCATCATGTAATGGTGTATCGCAGTCCTCGCATCGGGGCACTTGTGAGGAAGCTTGGTCCTGCTGTACAGGCATTGAGAAGATGGGTTGAACAGGCGGCGCGGGTAGCTGTTTCCAGAAAGAATGCAGCGTAGACTTTTGTGGTTTCGACGAGGCCAAAGTTGATGGCTGGTGTGTTGGAAGAGCGTCGGACGGGATGGGCGCGGCCTCTGGATGTTCACGTTGCGCGGCGAAGAGCATGTTCAGCGTGTTTTCTGGGATATGATTAGCAACTAGAAGCTCGAATCACCGAGTCAATAAGCCTTACTGTGTATCGCTTGCTCGTCGGGTCTGTTGTCGCGAACCCGCTTCTGTGTGCGGTTGCCCCAATCGTTGCTCTTGACTCGACTCGCGCTTATGAAGTCCCAGCCATTGGATCTCGAGGTCGCATGTGCATGTGTATCCATCATCTTGTCATAGCCCTTGGTGAAAGACATGGGCGATTGCGCATCCGGTGTGGAGACGGCGCCGAAGCTGGAGATGGAGAGCGGCGAGTCGTCGGAGGAGTGCTTGCGCTTGAGGCCCATGGCTGCGGATTGAAGTGTTGACGGGTTGCGATAAATGATGGGGTATTATTCGTGGTGTGTGGATGACAGCAAATGTTTGTTTACGGGTTCGTAGAGCGATATGCGAAAGGAGAGCGAGATGGGATGAAACGGGGAGTGATGATGCTAAGTGGCTGGCCTGGGAGACGCGAATTGTCGGCGCGAGCGCGTCGCGTGATGGCAGGTCGGGATCGCAATTGCATCACTACCCTCCGACCGGGCACCTGGGCAACATCACCCGTGGACCGAACATCCACACGTGACCTGCTGTGCACACGTTGCAGCAGGCGTCATGGAGCATGGCTTGGTGGGCTTTTGTATCTGGCGTCTAGAGATGGCCCTTGCACATTCCCAGCAGGCGATGATGGCAGGTAAAGGCATTACGTCGGCTGTACGAAGGTCGCGCTCAGCTTACCCCACTGCCCCTCACGCTCCCAACACCAACTACTCGATACAACGTCACGATACCAGCTCCCAAGATCTCTAGCAGCGCATCCCGCTCCGTCGCACAATACCCGAAACCCACCATGGTCACCCGCAAAGCCACCCACGCCGGCTCCTGGTATACGGACAACAAGCAGCTCCTATCGCAGCAACTCGACGGCTGGCTCGCAGACGTTCCCGCTACCACCACGCCTATCGGCTCCGTTTCCTCACAGCAGGGCCAAGTCTCAATACCGACGCCGGATGCGCGAGCCATCATCGCCCCGTGAGCTCCCTGAAGAAGCTATAGAGAACATGAGGCTCATGGACATGCAGGCATGCCGGATACTCGTACTCAGGGCCTGCTGCTGCATGGGCCTACAAGAGCGCTGACTGGGCGAATGCGTGAGTGCAAGACTATGAAGCGGAGGTTTATTGCCATACTGACGGCTTATAGCAAACGTATTTTCCTCCTCGGCCCCTCCCACCACTACTATCTCGCTGGCGCTGCGACAACAGGCTGCGACAAGTACCGTACACCGCTCGGCGACCTCACGATAGACAGAGACCTGGTGGAGGAGATACAGCAAGACTGGGATCTGGAAATCATGTCAAAGGGAACCGACGAGGACGAACACAGCTTAGAGATGCACCTGCCCTATATTTACAAGATGTTGTCGCTCAAGAACACGAGCTTCCAGAACGACTCGAAATCTGTTCCTCTGGTTCCTATCATGGTCGGCAATACTGAGGCAGCCCTCGAAGCATACTATGGTTCTATGCTCGCTCCCTATCTCTTCGATCCCCACAATGTCTTCGTCATATCATCTGACTTCTGTCACTGGGGGTCCCGATTCCGGTACACGTACTACCAGCCGCCCGACGGTTCAGCGGCAACCCACCTGAAGTCAAGCTCTGCTGTGCCGAGCGACTACCCCATACACGAAAGCATTGCCGCTGTCGATCACGAGAGTATCGACGCTGTGGAGAGTAGGTCACATAAACGATTCTTAGACCAGCTCAAGAAGACGGGCAACACCGTGTGCGGAAGACATCCGATCGGCCTGTTCATGGCCGCGGTAGAGAAGGCAGGTGAGCTACGTGAATTAGGTGAAGGAAAGGGCACATTCAAGTTCCTGCGATATGAGAGGAGCAGTCTGGTGGAGGGTGTGCAGCATAGCAGTGTGTCGTACTGCAGTGCTTTCGCAGTGCTGTAGGGGGCAGTTCATTTGTACAGTATGATGGGCCTTTCATAGTGAAAGATAGTAATACAGACAACAACCAACGACTACGATGCCGCTGAACGACGTGACTGAGCGCTGTAACGCCGATCCATGCAACCAAATCTATTTCATCGCAAAAACCGAAAAGGCCCCCCAAAACATACATCAAGATGGCCGTGGCTTCGGCATAGCACTGTGCTTTACACTCCACGGCTGCATGCTTCTCCTCGCGCCCAGTGTCTTCCTCTGTGCCGACTGGTTTTGTACCTGACTCATTGATGTTGTATGAAATGTCGACGCCGGACGGAAACCCGCTGCCGAATTAAAAGATGACGATGCTTGTTTCGTTGGACTTGCCGGTTCTCCGAGCTCTTTCTCTGCTTGGTATGTATTCTCCGCCTCAGGTTTAGGCGGTGAGCTGGACAAAAGAACGTACCGCGTGTTCTCCATCCCAGGTTCTGGCTCCGCACGTTTTGGCTTGGTGAGGATAGGTCGGGTTGTAACTTTGTGACTGGGTATCGAAAGGGGCTGGAATGGACGTGGTGGACGTGAGACGGCGGCCTGAGTGTTGGAGATATCGTAGAGTGGAGTATTGGTTGCAAAAGAAGACTGCGAGCGTTGTAAAGACGGCGCGTCGAAAGATGGCGGTGGTTCGGTTTCCTCAGACAGCGTGCTGTTTGATCGCTTGAAGAAACTCGTAATGGAACCTTGACCAGTTGCACGTGGCTTGACAACTTTTGCGCGCGCAGGCTTTGCTTCTGCCTTCTTCGCATCCTTGTAGACTTCTCTACCAGCCTCGACGTATTGAGCACTGGCTAGAGTACGAATCCGCTCTGCTTCTCTTTGCATTGCTTGTAGGTCTCCAAGATCTCGTGCGCTAGTGAACCCGGCTTTTACACTCTGCATCGTGGTTGTCGCTGTCGAGAAAGCAGACGTGCGGTTCATCGTAGATGCTACTGAGTCTTTAGACAGAGAGCTTGACGATTCCAACTTACGCCGCTTGAAAGATTGGTCTAGCCCAGCACCGTTGTTTTTGCCACCGTATGCGGCCCATGTTGGGTCATCTCCGTCAATCTCCTCCCGAGTCGTTGGGTACTGGTCATCCTCTGGACGTTCCAACAAGCAGAGAGCTGTCTTCATATCTTCAGATGATGGGCATTCTCTGCGAAGGATGCGGGCTAACTCTGGTACGGTACTCCTCTTAAATGCAAGATCTGGCCCTCTATTGCTGAAAAACTTTTGGATTTTCCGATCCGATATGAATCTCGAAAGTGTCGTCTGCTCCTGGCCCGACTGTTTGACTGGGCAACTTAAGTACAGTAAGCCTTGTGCTCGAGTCATGCCAACATATAGCAAGCGCCGTTCTTCGTCGTGATCGTCCGCTCGGGAATGGGGTATGGATCCGTCGTAAACAGCAGGCATGAAGACCACAGGCCATTCAAGACCCTTTGCTGCGTGAATGGTGGAGATGGTGACCTGGTCTAGTTCACTGCCCTCCTGGTCTGCCGCGCTCGAGAGGGTGACATTGGCTAGAAACTTGGACAAGATATCAGCTGCAGTGTCGTGCCGCTGTTCGAGGCCTTCTACTGC